TATAACATCTTCCCCTTTTGTCATTCAAGGGTTCATATTTCATGCGTTTTTTCTATACTCTTGTGATTCCTTTCGCACGTTCAGAAAAAACGCAGAAAAGAATGCATTCTAAAAACAGGTATGTAATCATTGATCAAATATCGAAGAATTCGAACCGAATTCCCGTTCGATTATCATATGAATGAAATAAAAAATTCCGCGATGAGAATTCAGCGAGATGACTCAGAAAGATAAAAATGCCCGATCGCCGCCACAACCCCATAACTCCTCCAATAAAGAAACCAACACAACATTGAAACAAATTCCAAAATCACTGTAACCCCGAGCCACCATTAATTCCCCTTTCCATTAAATCCCAACAAAATCCACAAACCCGCATGCGAAAAAAAGAAACAACAATTTACGATTTGTTTTTCATCCGAGGGAAAATGATCGCAATGTTTTTCCCGTTACTACCCTCCCGGCGACCCAGATTCCATCCCCTCTCCCACCTCATAAAACAGTAAGAAAAAAAAAAGAATGAAAACCGAGCAAAAATGGAGTGAAGAAAAAAAAAAGACGAAACAACAAAATATAATGCAAAATGTGGGATAATCCAGTGAGGTCAACGCGCACTCGAGTCTCGAGGTTTAGCAATTTTATGCATCCGTAAGTCGTTGGCGGTTGCTTGACGCTCTTCTCCTCAGGTCCTGGATGAGAGAATGCACCAACGATGTCGAGACGGTTTCAAATAGTTTTAGCATAAAATCCCGTGGCCACTGCTAACCCAGTGATGCACTTCCTCTTGCTCCAGAGACAGAGTCCTCTTTATCCTCTTCTTCTTCATTCTCATGGGACATTCACCGATTTATGGACAACCCCTTGTGTTCACACACCATCCCTCACTTACTCCTAAACCATCTTCTGGTAAATGTGGGAAATACTAAGACCGGTGGAATAAATTCTTCGGGAGTTTATCGTGGCTTTTTCGAGTGGTGATCTTCCTCTGGATTTTATACTTCCTACTTTCGAGGATTATGAATATATTTGATGGCCGAATGCCTGATGATGGCATTACGGTTATATGTTCGGGGATCATCAGGATGATTGGAGGGGTTTTCGCTGTTTCATACGGGGAGGGGAGTTTTGCTAGTTAGGGGATTAGTCAGGAGATGAGAGGGTGCAGGAACGATCAGCCAGCGAATATTATCAACAGTTTTTCGTGGAAGAATTTGTCGTCTCGTCTGATTTTTTCTCAGGATTTTCTGTTGAAAATTGTTTAAATACTGAAAGTTAGATTTTATGGCAATTTTATCTAGCATCGTCCATTTTTGAAGTGAGGAAGCTGTCAGCAGTGTCGGGAAAAAAATAAAATTTTATAGACAGTTGACTACAAATTTTATGGACAGCGACACTCAATGTGATTTATGGATCGAAAAAACCCATAAAATCCGAAGTTTCACTAGCAATTCAGTTAAATTCTAGAATTTCAAATTTAAGGAACATAAAGATGTGGATTTATTAATTTATTTGAATTTCTAATTTAGTTTAAATATTCACTGTCAAACTGCACTTTCTAAAAATTGATAAATGTCATCATTCTATTTCCCTTCAATCGCAGCATATGTCGCTATCTTCAAAATTCACGGATATATATTTAAAACATCTGACACCTAATTTGTTGTTAACATAAATGAGAGAAAATTTGAGATTAGATATTTGAGAAAAGATATTTCCACTGTGACATCCCTATCCCACGATATTTTTCTGTGATCAATTGCCCTGCAATTAATAATTCACGTTATTACATTACCCTAATATTTTCTCCAATGTTAAAGTAATTAAAACGCTCATCCCTATAAAAGTAAAAAATTATATAGCCTCCCACATATTATGACATCTTGTAACAGAAAATTGTTGCATAGTACTTTGGATTAGGTCGGACAATTCTCGTTCTAATTCAACAAGAAAAATTTACTGAAAAAATGGTAGACCGTAGTTATTATTATTGTCTCTGTGCATTTAATAATTCCAGTTGAGAAATGCAACAGCTGTATTCATCATGAACCTCTCGATCTCCGATCTGATGTTCTGCTGCTTCAACCTACCACTGGCAACATCAACCTTCTGGCACAGTTCCTGGCAACATGGGGCCCTCCTCTGCCGTCTTTTTCCTCTTCTTCGATATGGTCTACTCGCTGTGAGCCTCTTCACGGTCCTTGCAATAACGATCAATCGATACGTCATGATCGGTCATCCCCGCCTCTACCCCAAGTGAGACCGAGCGTTGATCAATATAAAAATGAGATTTCCATTAATTCCTTCTGTGAGATATTTATTTTTCATTTTTCAGACTCTACAAACCGAGGTATCTTATCTTGATGGTACTTGCTACGTGGATATCCGGGTTTGGGGCACTCGTTGCGACCTGGTTTGAGCACTGGGGTCGTTTTGGCCTGGACCCAGTTATTGGATCCTGCACGATAGTACCAGATGTTAATGGTCGCTCGCCCAAAGAATTCCTATTCATTCTAGCATTTCTCACACCCTGCATTGCCATTGTTGTATGCTACGCCCGGATATTTTATATTGTCAGAAAAACAGCGCAAAAGAGTAGGCGACGAGAGAAGGCCACTACTAATCTTGTTAAAGCCAGTCTTGAGGTATGTTTTTCGCAGGATTCGCGAAAAATTATGTGAGAGTTCCGCGCGACCCCGGATGGCATGCCAGTTTGAAAGCAAATGTGGAATAACATGAATTTTTGCGAGAGAAGCCCATTATCTCTTTTTACTAGTCGAGTACTAGCTACTTTGCATGCGATTGAATGCAATCAGTTTGATGTTTGATGATTTGGTGATTAAATCATTCAATTTTAGACTTTTTTTATATAATTTTTTAATTTACTGATGTTGGAACACATATTTCGTGAATTTGTACATGAAGATGGAATATATGAGTATTTTTGAGGGTTGCAAAAATTATCATGGGGTTTATTTAGAAATATTCTAATCTCTTTTACCCAAAATTACGGGTTTTTTCGATTTTTTCGATTTTCAATCGACAAATTGTTGGATTGACCTGCAAAAATATCTCGTTTTACATTTCATGATTATTTCATGACTCGTGAAATAACGACACATAATTTTCCTGTGTTATTAATAATGTTCTATGAATTATTGAAGAGGTAAAAAAATGCAGGAAAGTTATTGCACGATCGTGGCATTTTATGGATCATTAAATAATTATACGAATGATGTGAAGACGCTCTATTTTTTCGCGTCGATCACACCGCAAATTAAAATGGGCCTCTATGTTCATTCTCACAGGTGAAATTCACAAAAAATTACGAAGACTCTGCTCTGGGCTCGAGCTGTGGTCCCACTGCCACGACCACAACGGAAAATGGTGGTTCTCCAACAAAAACCGATCGTTCGAACGCTCACTACATAATTACCCCCCAATCAATTCTTCTCCCCGAAAAAATACCTATCCCTTCGTCACCACCCCTCGAAAAAATAAACGAGAGAAACGAGAACACATCCCCAGTTGATCCCAAATGTTGCCCCAGAAATGATCCCTCCAGCACCTCTACCAACTCCAACTCCAGTTCAAATTCACCAAGAACTATTCAGGATCCATTCCCCGAGTCACTCAAAGAAAATGGAACCGCACACTCACCTGCATCTAGAATATATCCAGTAATTCCGAACTTCAGCATCTCGGATGTGGATAAGACCGAGGAAAAGTCAGAGGAGCAACAGATTCTGCGCTCGAAGATGTTGGGTAGTGATAGCCAGTGTCTGAAGGTACCGAATCGCTTCCAGAAGGATGAGGCGTCTTCTGAGGGGTTATCCAGACCTCAATCCTCTTCATCTAGATACGAACCCTCAGAAATCTCGGAAGAATTTCCGTCGTCGAGGTTGGTATCAATCTGTTCACTAATGATGAAGACATTTCAGACTGTTCAGCCATTTTCTGTGGAACGAATTGCCTCATCTTCAATGAAAATTCTATAATTTACTTTTTTCCTTTACTGATAGCAAAACGTGAAACTCATTTCTCCCACAAACAATTAATAATAAATAACAATAATATTCTGAACAGTCTCATCAGAATCAATTAAAGAAATCTCGCGTTCATTATCTCAATTTCATGATATTCATCAATTGAAATTAAATAATTAAAAAAAATGTAATAATTCGCTGTTTCAGGTCAGATTCACCATCAGAGAAACGCCAAAAGAAGAACAGTTTATTCCGTAGGGAATCTCGATTTCGGAGCATAAAAAATCGAGGACTAGAGTCTGGGAAAATGACGGCTAAAGACAAGAAACTCCTCAAAATGATTCTAGTGATATTTTCATCATTTTTGATTTGTTACTTACCCATTACGATTTCCAAGACATTCAAGGACGTAATTGACTGGCGTGGACTCAACATTGCAGGCTACATCCTCATCTATCTGACCACCTGCATCAATCCAGTGATTTACGTCGTGATGAGTTCTGAATACAGAAGTGCTTACAAAAATGTTCTTCTCTGTCGAAGTGACTCCTTCGAGGGCAAAAAACGTGCTAATTGATATTATTTCTTTTTTACTTTTATTATTGAGCTTTATTCATTAGAAGACTGACTTTAGTGTAAATAATATCGTCGTGGAGGATTTTTTAACATTTTTTATTCATAATTTTATTGATGTTAGTGATTGATTCAGCGAATATATATCCACTGAATCATTTCCGATCGAACATTTTACGTTCAATGCAATTAGAATTAATGATTTTATTATGTAAACATAAAGGAACAATGGTGTATATAAATTCATTGGTAAACTTCGAGATAAACATTTTCAAGATTGAACAGCAATCTTTCCAATTCGATAATTTCCCGCCTCTTTCATTTATTGATATTTATTATTACACATAAATATTTTATTTGACTCACTTGTATCACTTTTTCATGAAGACACAACATTAAGCGATCTAATTTGAGTAGATGAGTTACATTAATTAGACGAGGAATGAATAAATAAATTGCAGAGCAATATTATTGTTGGATGGTGCTGATACAACACACACACACAAATTCATGATGGAATATTCATTAGATATTTCTGTTGCTTGAACTCAATGTTAAATTTTATAAGACACACCATTTCATGAGCGGTGTTTCATTCTTCAATTATTTACGCACTTTAAAACTGGAAACAAGAAAAATTATTCTATGGATTGAGAGTAGATTTAATTGGCTATGAATATAACTCGTAGAAATTAATTCGTGGGGTGCTTTATAAGTCTGCAATAAAGAATTTCTATGGGACCTGAAAACCTTTCGATTGTTATTTCCGACAATGTGATGTACCGGGAAAACATGAAAGGAGAAATTAATTGCGATTGAGAATTTCTAAAAAAATAGACGAATCATTTTGCTTTTTACTTCTTTCAAGTGCAATCTGATATTTCAGGTGAAATCAACAGTTTCTACTTAAAATTTATAATGGAACGCATGCGTACATTTTGAATAGAATAATTTCGGGAAATTTAGGTGGTACAAAATAATTCGTAATGGTAATGTACGCAACAAGTGTTAAACCAAACATTATTTCCAAGAAATCTCGAAATCTTTCCGCTAATTATTCTGTTAACGGTTATTATTTCCATGACACAACAACCATGACACGAGTAAAATTTTAATTCGCAACTTTTAATCCAATTTAGAAGTTACCAAAATGTCTGACATCCTGCGCCTGGCGATCAGATAATGCTTCAAATCTTTTACTGCATGCAAATTGCTGGCTTGTCCGTACCGAAACTTTGGGCGATGAAAAGTTTACGAGGAAAAGTTCTGCTTAACCGAGATAGCAGAAAAGATGGTGCTTTACACTGAAAGTAGCAGACGGAGAGTTGAAGGATCGGTTGTTTCATGCAATCAACAATGTGATTTCATTGGTTTTTATGGATTGTCGAGCGCAGAGCCATTTTTGATGTGGATTTCTGCAAAAAAATCTGCAAAAAACAGAAATTTATTGCAAACTCGTGGATAACTATCCACTTTTTACTCTGCATGCCTGCAAATACATTTTCTAACTTCATATTGAATTTGTGACGAGACCAAAAGTATAAATATAGAAAGTCGAATATTATTATTCATTATTTAAAACCGTTATAGTTTAATCCCAACTCGTTATCGTTAATCCCAACTCGTGTTCCATTCGTTCGAAATTTATACAGATTAATTTATCTCCGTCTCGTCTGTCAGGGAATATTCTAATGGCCAAATGATTTCAATGAAATTCTTAATTTTTTCAATGAACGCACAATTTTGACAGATAAAACTCGAGTAACTGTTGTTCTCCACTCGCTTTCTGATTGGTCCCCGGTGATCAATTGTCAATGCCGGGTACATTTTGTGATTGCAGCGTGGATACGTTCAGGGGCCATTTTTTCTCAGTGCTACCTGGCGCATTTCCATTCGCAGTGACTTTGGGAGATACCTTCGTGATAGTGAGCTTTTGGGATGCCTGCATCTCTTTGTACTTGAGGAAACCAGAGGTGCCAGCCAATGCAAGACCTCCAGCCATCATCAACCATTTCATAACACTGAAAATATCAACACAACACCCATAAATATTTTAATAAAGAACACGAAACGCTCAACTCATGAATCTCACGTTTCTTTTTCTACAACTGTCATTCCATGGGTGTCTATACGCTCTCGACAAACGCACAGAAAGTTAAAAAGAAATTAAATTGTATGAAACCTAAGACAAAGATCTGAGGAGACCCACAGAAATTGACTTAATCTGCGGCAATTGGCGAGTATTTTTTAACGGTTTTTTCAAATCTTTTGATCCTGCTGAGAAATGGAATAGACTCTATTAGGAGAGGCACTCACTTAACGATGGTAATCATCGTAAATAGCATCTTGAGCGGAGCCAGGTATTCGTCATCCAAGAGAACACCCTCTTCCACCCAGAATAGCGGAAGAAGTGCATTTGGAAAAGTCTTCATCAATTTGAACTTTTCAACTGGTTGAATAAACATACTGAATTGTAGCCGTTTGGCAGCTTCTATAGGAGCCCCCGCCAAAGCCACGAAATTCATGAAAATCTCATGATCTTCCTGGAAGATAAAAAATTAAATTATCAGCAGAATTTTTGATGCAATGAACAGTCTGTTCCTCAATCAGATGATTTCCTACTTAATGATGACCGTTCTAAATTGTAATCGTTCTTCATTTTATAATAATATTTCCTTTCAAAATATGTAAAAAATATATTACAGGTTGAATTATTACAAGTCGAAATATTATTTACCTTTTTCGGACGGAGACCATCAACTTGGCTCAAGTAAATCGGATCGGCGAGGTAGAAGTGAGGGAGACTGGCGATCATAGGAGCACCCAGACAGGGAAAGAGGTCAATGTAACCCTTTTTCATACATTTGTCTGGAGCTGGACATAAGCACTTCAGGTGCTCATCTTTATTCATGTCACCAAAATCCGCGGTGTATTGATTCGTAGGAATACCTGCAAATAAAATCGTTTTCCGCACAGAAAAAACGGACGAACAATTCGATAAATTTTAATATTGTTAGGAAAAATAAAGTAGATTTTGAATTACACTATTGCACTATTCCATGTAGCAATCATTATTCATCAGGTACCCCAATGGAATATTAAATAGTGAACATTGAACATTGAACATTGAAATTGCAATAGAATCAATTAAAAAGTGTCCAATTAATTATCTAATTTAGTGTTTGAAGGATTATTATTCGTGAAAGTAAATTAGATTCCTGAAATATTAGGGAAAAAGTATTTATTGAAAATCTATGCAAGTTTTCAGGGACAATGTTGACGCGCTCTGACATCAGCTCAATGCTCAATGAACCACGAGTTCTGCTTATGTCGTAATGAATATTTGATTACATCAATTTTTAAATGACTTTCAAACATATAATATTCATAGGGACTGACCTTTAACATTGGAAGGTGCCCGGTAATAAGCTGGTAGACTGATACATAAATCTGTAGCAAAAGAGACAACATCCTCATCTTCATAGAGAAGCGCATGGAAAATGGTGGTATCCGTTCCCTGGTAGTCATTGCAGGGTCCATTCTCTGCCCAGACTTTCTGCTTTTTTTCTCCTTTTACTTCAATTACTTCACCCACTTCGAGGTAATTTTTCAGACCTCGCCTCACTTTTATCCTGTCTGGCACAACTGTACCATTTTTCTGGAATTAATGAAGAAATATTGCAGGATTTAATTGCATTAATCGTCACAAGTGGATTTCTCTGTCAGATTTTAGTAAAAATCTGTAGAAAAATATTGATTCGGTCTGAATTATTGGGCGGTCAGTTTTTCCTATACACGAGGAGGAATATTCCAAAAAAATGGCGGAATATTTCACGTAATCTGCAAGCGAGAATGGTTTTAGGGGAATTTCTGTAGAAATATAAGAGACAAATCTGATACGGTCAGTAAATTTTTGTGGTTGCCACGCAAAAAGGTTTTACGAATAATTTTTATTGGACTTTTCAACCATTAATTATTTTGCGGGGAGAAAAAATTAACGGGTGGATATATATTCAGGAAGTTCACTTCCATTGTTTCCAAACGGTGAATTATGAATTGGAATATATACCTTATATTACCAGAAAAATCGTAGGTTGCACAGGTAAGTTACGATATATTAGTGGAGCTCATTGTTTAGTTGGAGTTAAAGAATTCAAAGACAATGCGAATTGTTGAGGGACGAGGGTATGCGAATTCGATAACTTACAGCACCCAGAAGTGCGAATCTGTATCTCTGGGGGCCTTCTTTGATGAATGCCCCTTCATTCTCAGCAAGAAGTGAGCAAATTGCTTTCCCCTGCAAGTCTTGAACTGTGCAATCCACTGGCAAGCCTGTCCAGAGGAATTCTTTAACTGTCGCTTTGAAAAATATTGAATCTGGCTTGTGAAAAATACTGTCCACGGCTTTAGCTGAAATTGCAATCATCATTTCTACTGTATACGTTTCCATCTCAAGAACGAGAAATTGTCTTTAAAATTTATTAGTAAATTCATAAATTATTATTATTATTATATATCATATAGTTATATAAATAATAAATAATATAAACAAATATAAATAATTATATAATATATTATTATTATTAATAATTAGAATAGTGTGAATTCGTAAATTATATGATTTGAATGGTAGAATTACCAGCGAAACCTATCATTCCGGGTTTTTCTCTGAGGACTGTCATGATCATGGAGAGTATCATGAGGTGGGGGAAAGTTATCACAGTTTCTTCCGAGAGACCTGCTCCAGTCTTTTCAAGATTGAACTTCCATGTCACTTTGTTAGAATACTCAGCGGTATCCTCTTCTTCATTGTCTACTATGTCGACCTTCTCCTTGTATTCCCTTCATCAGAGAAATCGAGTGATTACTTGTCTTCAGATTGCATTTTAGCTTTTGATAAAATGATTCGCGTTTTTTTTTCATTAGAGGACTTTATCTTTGGATCTGGTTATTAAATTTACTCAACATATTCTACCCTTTCGTTCCCGTCTTTCGGTTCCGGATTAAGTCCTTTGGGAAGAGTTGACATTTTATAACTATTAGAATATGTATTATTTATGAAAACTTACTCGTAGAAGAATGGACCAACTTCTTTGACTATTGGCTTGGCTCCCGTCTTAATCTCATCAGGATTGGTGATATTGAAGAGGTAAACTCGGAAGTCAATACCGAAGGGCACAACTTCCCACATCTTTCTCACATCTCCTCCCGGTTTTAACGTCACTTGCTAATAATAATAACAAAGAAAAAATACTCATGAGTAACAGAAATGAATATTAACACAAACAATAATTCCGGTTAATAATAAAAAATAATACAACTCATTTTAAAAAGAGGTGAAACACTATTTCAACTTATATTTTATATTTTATATTATATTTTTTTAAACAAGGTACGATTTTAATCGTTTTTTTTTTTAACAATGATTTCGTGGAATTTTTAATTGGCGGCATTCTTTACTGCAATTTGACAGTAAATTTCATGGTAATTCAATCTATCTCTGTATTCACTCATTTTTTACGTGAAAATTGTCAAAGGTAATTGTTAGAAACGTCGAATTAAAAATGTATCACATTGTGTCACAGTTGTCTCATTATTCCCACGGAAATCCGTTGATAGAAAATTTTTGCGCGCAACATCACTGGATAAAACGCCGGTCTCAAGTATCAGTAACCACAGAAAAAATGCCATTTCACGGCATTGAGAAATATTAATTACCGAGTAGACAATGAAACATGGAACTGCCAGTAATTGATATAAAAATCGTGTCACCAGTAGCGATTAATCAAGATTGACATGAACTTCTCCTCACACACGATTGATTGCGAATAAAAATAATGAATTATAAAGATCATAAAGAAAAATTAATTTATGCACTTAAAGACGGTTATTATTATTATTTACAAGAGAGATAGATTAATTAAGCGAAGAAAATTGATTGGATAATTAATTATAATCAATTATTTCCTGCATGAAATGGTTAATCGTTCCAAATGACTTCGTCTGGTCTCGATTTATTTATTCAATCATGTCGTCTGACTAAATTCCAAAAAAGTAGTGAATAAAAATTAATTTGTCTCCGAACAAGAATTATTGAATGAGTCTGCAGATTCAAGTAAATCCATTCTATGGAGACAATATAATGTGAGATCTGATTATTCCCTGGATTTCGGCACGTCACTATCAAACTCATCATTAATTCCCCAGTAATTAATTCTTCCCAATCATTAAAATATACTCTGGCAGTCATTTATCACTACAAATGCAGATGAAAAAATCTGTTTCACTTTGTTAAAATTAATATAAATGTAATGAATAACTATTTTGTAGAGATTAGCTTTCGATTGCCGATTCAAATAATCAATTTGAATTGAGATTCCATTTTTTTGTTTAGTACATACTTATTTAATTTGAATTTATTTTCTGAAGAGTCATTTGTGGATTTCATTCTGTTGTCATGGATTTTCTTGGGAATTAATTATAGGTAATAATTAATTAAATAATATTATATTCAATGTTCCATTTTCAAAGCGCAAGAATTCTATCAGAAATTGATTAATCAATGATTTTTTTATGGAAATTATTGGATAAAATTTTTCGGAGGACAAAAAAAATTATTTGAAAATTCGATTAATCGTCAATATACCCTTGAATAGCTCAGATTTTTTTCTTTTCTCTTTAAAAAAAAAACTCAGGAATGTTATTTAGAGATGCTTTTTAAAAAGTGAATCTTGCATTCACCAAAAATAGTACGGAATAATTCTAAAAGTTGAAAAGAATAAACCACAGGATGATGCTCAAAACAATTATGAGAACAAAAAAATTATTGAGTTATTCCACTAGTATCGGTTTGATCTCTTAACAATCATGTGGAAATTTAAAAGAATCTCGTGATCATTGAGCGATGAAACAGGGAATTAAATATCATTCAGGGACTAAAATAAAATAGAAGAATTAACAAGAAAGCTCATGTAGGTAATTCTGAAGTATTAAAGAAAAAATACAATCCAGTGATTTAATGGATTCACCTTCTTCAGTTGGCTCTTGAGAAACGGTGGAAAAATGGCAAACCCGAAAAGAGTACCGAACATAAAAAGACTCCCCCCAGCGATCCCTAGCTTCAGCCAAAGTCGCATTTTTATTTATTTAAACAATATTTCCGATAATAATACGAGGAGAATAATCATGAAAAAATACGAAGCACTACTCCATTTATTTATCTTCTCCAATTATTCCGATTTTCTATCCGTACAGACAGGGGAATGAATAATGATTCGCTGATGGCGAGTCGTGAAACCGTACTGACTCCACGAATTTTATTCCGCAGAAACGATGTTACATATTCGGATATGCGATACCGAACTAGCGATCCCGGCCTAGCAAACACATATAATTTTATTTTCACACAACTCATCGGCAGTTGCGCAGTTCAAGTTATGAGAAAAAAAAATCACTTCAAATAAAATTGTTGTGACTTATAGACTTTGAGTATGAATTCCTTTTAATAAATAATCTGTGACCGCGCTTCACATCGGTCGATCGTAATAATTCATGAGTATGTATCTCTCAATTCAATAATACAATTTTTTTATATAGCGCATTTCAACAGCTTAGCTGACTCTTCTAAAAAAAAATTTAATAAATAGAAATTTGCAAAAATATATGTTAAGGAATGATAAGACAATCTTCGGCCATCTTCTTTGATGTTCGAAGAAATTTACCAAGAAATCGAATATTCAACTATTTTTATTGAAATATCTATCGAATTTACGAGAAACAACTAGAATTTCCTTAGACGATCGGCTGCGATTGATCTATAGTGGTAGTGCTAGAATTTTTCTAGTGAATTTCTCCCGGTGTATTTCGAGTTACAAAATCCATTTGACGAGGAAATCGAGGTTGTAATGCATGTACTTTCTAGCATAATGCCTGACAAAAAGTTGGTTTCCAAGATAGTCGCGCAGAAAGTCGACGAAGTTGGACTAATCGAATCTCGAAAGCCAACCGATCGTAAAGCTGTCAAGAAGGCGTATCGAGAGTTAATCCATTATCGTAAGATGTATAATACAGCATTCAATACCGTAATTTACTCATTACAATAAATAGTATGAAAATACTCAATATTTTTATTAGAAAGACTATCGCCGTATCAGAATACGCATAACAAAAATGTTGACGTCATTTTTGGGGCGTTTCCATAATATGAATTGATGATTGATTTCGTTTTTTATTGCATAATGATGATTTGGAAGTCGGGGTAAATTTGTTGAGGGAATTGTGATACTTCTCAAGTTTCTGAGCATCCGAGTGACTGATAACGATATAATTAGGGCTGAGAATAGTGAAAATATTTTTATTTTTCAATTTCACTACAGAATTCTTTATACAAATCATTTATTACGATTTTTTCCTCATGGGCGATCTTTTTGGAGATGTATATCGTTTGAAAAAATCAGTCCTTACCCGATGTTCTTCGCCATTTTGTCGGCCGCCTTTCTAAGGTTCAAAATGGCGGACAATATCAGGTAACTCTTCAATTTCATTTTATTATGATTGATTTTCAAAGGTCTACTTTAATATTATTTGAGCAGTGATTGAATTGAGCAGAATGATCGGTAAATTTATTCCTATCAGCTATCGGCAGGTGCACTTTGCGATGTGTTGAGATCTGACTGTTTTTTATCGATGCTGTTTAGTGCAGTTGCCGTGAATTGGGGAGATATTGTCGTGATATCAATTTTGGATCCTTTTTTAATTCTTCGCCTCAAGTAACCGGCAGTACCGATCAACACCAAGCCGCCCAATATCAGCAGCCACTTGATTATCCTAGAAAAAATTCATAGAACAATTACCATTACTCTAATACACATGATTTACGTCGATCTCTACACATTTTCCTTCTACTATCTAAACTAAATTCTGATTTGATAAATCGTCATGGGATTTTGCTAAAATCGGTAACTTTAATAAGCGAAATAGACTATTCTAAAAATTTTTCTAAAATTCCACTCTTTTCTGCCACACATAATAAAATGAAAAATCCACATCAGATAAATTAATATACTTCTGTCAATTAAATTTATTCAGTACAATTACTCACTTTAGTCCCTGCATTACTCGTTTTATCACTACACTCTCCCCTTTTTTGAAGATATAATTCAAAAAAAGTGAAGAGAGAATAACAAGGAAGGAAGATAAAATTTTATTTTTTTCGAATGGATGATTTTGCCCCTAATGGTCCATTTTGTCGGAAATAACACATTTAAATACAGTCGAGTAAGAACCCACTTGTTCCCCCAGATTCACGCGATTATCTCAAGCAGATATGGCGGTAGAAGGTTGAAAATGCTCTTAGAAGATAGCTATGGAAATTTCAACGAGCAAACACACCCTAATGCCACATTTTCCTCCTTCATTTCTCCAGATACAGACGAAAAACTTGTCCTCCTGAAAACCCCACTCCCCATTATATCCTGTATTTCTAGTGTGACCGAAAACTTCCAGGGGTTTATAATGATACCATTTTCAACTTCCGAGTTCTTCAAGCACTGGAGATACTCAAATTTTAAATACACATTTTTTGTTTTCATTGAATTATGAGGATGTAACTTTATCGAGGTGAGAAAAATTGAGTTCTGAGTTCTTGTGAATGAGGGGAACTTACCCGACGATTGAGATCAGGGTGTAGACTGTCTTGAGTTGATTCACGTATTTATCCCCTAGAAGAAGACCCTCTTCCACCCAAAATAATGGCAGAAGTGCCTGTGGGAAAGTTTTCATCAATGGGAACTTCTCCACTGGACGAATAAACATGTTGAATTGCAAGCGTTTCCGCGCTTCTACTGGTGATCCTGTCATCGGCTCTAAATTTATGAATATCTGGTGCTCCTCCTGGAATTCAAAAAGATAGACAACGAAATATTTTGGTGAAATATTTTAATACAGTAAAAAAAGTAGAATTTGAGGAAATGGATAAATTTTGAGAATTTCTCGTGTTTATATTTCGGTTCCGAAAATGTGGGAAATTCGTATTGAATTGATTATTTATTTCTCGATGCAATAGTTAATCTGTACCTTCTCTGGGTGGAGACCATCGACTTGAGTCAAGTAGAAATCATCAACGAGGTACAAATGTGGGAGACTGGCAACCAACGGGGCACCGATGCAAGGAAAAAGGTCAATAAGCCCTTTCTTCAGACATTTATCTGGAGCCGGACACAGACATTTCAGGTGCTCGTCCTTATTCATGTCACCGTAATCAGCCACGTAATGATTTGTAGGAACACCTGAAAACAGTATGCAATAATATTTAATAATTATTTCCCGGTTCTCTTTTTATTTCTATTTTTCATCTGTAATCAATAATGAACAATTAAATTAAAGAAGTAAGCCTGACCTTGGACGTTGGAGGGTTTTACATAGCGTGCTGGCACAGTAAGACACATGTCCACAGAAAACGAGATCATGTCCTCATCTTCATACAAAAGTGGATGGAAGATACTACTATCTGTTCCAGTTAGATTGTTGCAAGATCCTTCCTCGCCCCAAATCTCTTGTACTTTCTCGCCCTTGAACTCTACCATTTCCCCCACTTGCAGATAATTCTGAAGACCACGTCGGACTTTTATTCTATCTTTTACCGTTGTCGCATTTTTCTGAAAAAGATTTTTCAAAATGTCAAGAATTCCCTGAAGACACAGTTTTCATGAAAGTTCGAGTGGTAACGCGGAAAAAAGCGCGCAGATGACTGGAATAGGGTAGATCTATTTTGTATTGGAAAAATTGAATTCCAAAGTTGAAGGAATTTTGAAAATTTTAGGGTCTGTGAATTTTATTTATTTTTTATAGATTTATAGATAAATTATTCTGCTTTATTTGTAGAATTAAATCATGACGTAATGAGAGAAGAAAGTAAATTAAATTTACTTACCGCACCGAAGAGGGCAAATCTGTATTTTCCTGGGCCATCTTTAATGAAGGCTGCTTCTTTCTCAGCGAGAAGCAAGCAAGCCGATTTTCCCTGAAAGTCTTGTACTGTGCAATCAAGTGGTAATCCGGTCCAGAGGATTTCCCTCACTGTAGTTCTGATGAACACTGAATTCGGCTTGTGAAAAATACTGTCGACCGCTTTAGCTGGAATAACGATAAGAATTGTCTGACAATACATCGATTTTTCTACAGATTTCTCAAATATTACAATCCTTAAAGAAAAAATTATTCAAAACTTCGGGTAGTCCTAGAAATTTTATATCAAACTGTTCGTAAAAATCCACTTCTCAATCATTCAATAAAAAAAACACATTTGCGTCAGTTTTCGAAGAAAAAAATAAATGAAAAAATCACAATTCATTCTTCAATGAATAAATAATTTTCGGAATTGCAGTTCGAGGAGAGTAATTATCAATTTAAAAAATTTGTAGAAGACATTGATTAGTGAGAGAATAACTGCTTGATGATTGAAATAAATAAATAAGTGTGAAGTTTAATGAATAGGTCCCAAGCAAGAAAGGTTTATGATAGTAGTTACAAATGCAGATTTTATGAAGATGTCAATGAACTTACTAGCAAAGCTTATTGTCCCTGGTTGCTCCCTCATCACCGCGAGGATCATATTGAGGATCATCACATGGGGAAAAGTTAGGACTGTGTCCTCAGAGAGTCCCATTCCGCTTTTCTCAGGGGAAAACTGCCACGTTATTTTATTACTGTATTCACTGGTGTCATCCTTTTCAACGTCCGTCACCTCCACCTTCTCCTTGTATTCACTTCATCAATAATATATATTTATTACTGAATATATCATATACTATATTTCTCTCCAGAGTTGAAAATTGTTGATTCAAATTTTGGTTTTTATTTCAATATTTTTTAAAAATATTTCTGCTGAGAAAATTGAAGCAAAAATAAAAAAAGAAGAGTTGTTACGAAAAATATTCTTCAAGTTATTTGGATTCGCTCGATCGATAGCATAGTGTTATTTTATAACTTTATTCGTGATTTTATTTATGATAATTCAGTATAACTTACTCGTAGAAGAATGGACCGACTTCATTGACGATTGGTTTAGCGCCCGCTATGATTTCATCGGGATTTGTAATATTAAAGAGGAAAATCCTGAAGTCTATGGGGAAAGGCGTTTTTTCCCACATTTCTCGCATTTCTGTTCCGGGTTTTAAATTAACTTGCTGGAAACAATTAAAGGGAAGAGGTGATCACAATAATTATGAAAATTATTTTCAGTTCTATAATAAATTTTCACGTAGACAATTATTCACGGAATGAATAAAAAATAACATCAATGAGTATAATGGATTTTTTTCAATAAATTATGTATATTCACATCGAGTTGACCAATTTGCATAAACAGTTAGAAATAAAATTTTTTTATCATCCCCAGAAACTATCCTGTCTGGTTTGTGCCATAATTTTCATTAATGCCGTCATGCAAAACCTATTAATGTAAATTGTTACAAAGTAAAACATGAATAACGACCTGCACAGTGCAGGTATGATAAAAAATAGTCAATTAACAATATTGAAAAGAGCTATTTCCAAGTTCAAGTTGTGAAAAACGATTGACTTAGTTGAGGATGTACAGATCGTAGTGGTTACACCAGCAAAAAATTGAGATGAATACGGACTTCCTGAGTGCATATAGACTTTAGAGCACAATCAGCGTTTTTCATAAAAAATGATGAGTTTGCAATTGATGCGACATCATTCTATCAGAACAAGGTCGTATACAATTCACTCGTTAATAATAACTTTCCAACTATTTCCATAAACTGAATTGTTTTCAAATGAAAAAAGTTTCCAGTAGGAGATGAATATGAAACCACACCGAGAAAAATAATCAACAATCATTATCATTGTTATAAACAACAATTTAGAATAACGGAACTTCATCTTCAAATTTTATTCCAAATCAGCAATCATCAAAAATCCCAGTAATAAAATTTTGGTTAGAAATTCCTTTCAACCGAAAATTAAATATGATTATCAATTTTTCCAAATATTTATGCGTTTTTTACACTCTACACGATGTCCTAAGTTTAAATGATGGATTAAAAATAATGAGTACGTTAGGTAATAGGTCACTAAAACCTATTCATCTTTTTTCTTTTTTTTATTCATAAATTATGACTGGATCCCCTACATTAATATTATCAACAAAATTCATTAAAATTATTATAATCCCCAAATTATTTATAAAAAACCATTCCCACACATTTATTGACAAAACCTAAAACTTCCGAAGGCTCCCAGTACAGTTCTAATCTTAAACCGATAAATCGGTATCGGCAAATAAATAAATCGGCATGGCGAACACTCATATGAGGAAATTTGAAATTAATTTCATTTAATAAAGAAAGATGAATTTGCGAGCAGATTATTATCATATGAAATTTATTTTACGGATTTCGAATTGACTCACCGCCTTCACTTGGCTCTTCACCAATAATGGGAAGATAACGAAACCGAAGACAATCCCAAATATGAAGAGACAGCATCCTGCTATCCCCAGCTTCAACCAACGTTGCATTATTATTCAATTTTCCAACTAAAATTGTTCAGTTTTCGTGGTCAAAATCAAATGGCAAAACTTCCTCATTCATCTATTCATCTGTATTATCGTTTTAATGTATTCACGTTGACCTTGGCTTCAGATTTTCCAATTGATTGCTGATAATTGCAATCGGCGGAGAATGACTGATGAGTTAATGTTGCTGGACCGTAAGAACGTACTGACTCTCAGGATTACGTTCTCCAGAAGCGATATTACATATTCCCCACTTCAGAAGTACGTCATTTTTTTTTTGACCAACTCATCCGCAATTGCGCATGTCAGACAGTGAAGAAATTATGTTAAATAAATGGCATTGAAACGAAATTGAAAAAAATGGGAAACGCGGAAATTATTTTTGTAAAAATAAAAAAAGGTTCTTGCCCTTGTATTTTTTTAATCCCTTTTCTTAAATTTTAAAATACCTCAGGTATTTTCATCTTTGAATATTGCAATTTTTCGGTCTGTGATTTGGAAATCGCAATTTATATTTCAATTTATTTATTAATCATGATTAATTTCATCATTATCATTACCAATTAACTGAGTGCGCAATTCTCTATAAATAAATATCGGGATGAAAATTAGGGATTGAGAATTGTCATGACAATTACTACCAAAACAATAATGTTCTTACAAATTCAAAATTTTTTAATCATCTATTCATTAATACATATTTAATATAAACGATTCTGTCAATTCATTTACCTCACTTATTTGTTGAAAGTCTATATTTATCAGATCTGGCTTGAATTAAGATAAATTAATTAAATTATAGTAATCAAATCTGAAACGAGCGCAAAATTACGTTAAAATGAAAATTGTATAAACGTGCTGTCAAATAAATCCATCAAAATACATAAATAATATATACAGATGTATTCACCTAAGGTAACGGTTCTCTATTAATACTATTAATTAAAACTTCGAAGGATAAATAATTATAAATAGATAATCAATTTACCCAAGTGCAGGGAGATTTCAATGCATGTAAAAGTGATTGCCAAAGTTAATTACCTCTCGAACTTTTTGAAATAAAATTTCAATCGAAAAATTCGCCTGAAAAAATTCAAACAAAATACACAGAACACTCACATGTCTTTCCAAAATAACTATTTTTGCAAAATTCATGTGCAGTTAATAACAATTTCGAATGGGAGAATTACGTTTTAACACTTCACTTGATTTTTCTTTCTCGTTTTTTGATAATTAACCGTCTAAGGCTGGGACACTTTGTGCCTGCAATGTATTGACATTCAGAGGCCACTTTTTCTCGGTGCTGTCAGGTGCAGTTGCATTCGCAGTGGTCTTGGGAGAAACCTTCGTGATTCCTGATAGCTTATCAGAGGACTGCATATCTCTGTACTTCAGGAAACCAGAGGTACCAGCCAATCCGAGACCTCCAAACATCATCAACCACTTCATAATCCTAGAATGAACAACAAAAGACCGCGCTTCAGACTAAATAATTAATTAGTTAACTAGATTATACATCAATCCCCATGTTTATTTGTGGTTCCAGTAACTATTTTTCATGCTCCCCTGATACTTTTTTCAAAATTTCGAATTTTTCAACTTCAGTGAATACTTCCTCGATTTTCATGCTCCCCTGATACTTTTCCAAAAATTTCGAATTTTCAAATTTCAGTGAATACCCCCTCGATTTTCATGCTCCCCTGATACTTTTCCTAAAATTTCGAATTTTCAAATTTCAGTGAATACCTCCTCGATTTTCATGCTCCCCTGATACTTTTCCAAAAATTTCGAATTTTCAAATTTCAGTGAATACCTCCTCGATTTTCATGCTCCCCTGATACTTTTCCAAAAATTTCGAATTTTCGAATTTCGGTGAATACCTGCTCGATTGTCATGCTCCCCTGATACTTTTTCAAAAATTTCGAATTTTCAAATTTCAGTGAATACCTCCTCGATTTTCATGCTCCCCTGATACTTTTCCAAAAATTTCGAATTTTAAAATTTCAGTGAATACCTCCTCGATTTTCATGCTCCCCTGATACTTTTCCCAAAATTTCGAATTTTCGAATTTCGGTGAATACCTGCTCGATTGTCATGCTCCCCTGATACTTTTTTCAAAATTTTGAATTTCCAAATTTCCGTGAATACCTCCTCGATTTTCATGCTCCCCTAATACTTTTCCAAAAATTTCGAATTTTCAAATTTCAGTGAATACCTCCTCGATTTATGAATTGAATTGAATTGGCAAAAAAAAAATATGGCTAATTTTTGTAGAGCTTTTAGATGCCAAATGATAACACCTCACACGTGTGAGATTAGGCGGGCGGAGCGCGCCATATACGCCATTAAAAAAAAACACTGCATTTTATTATGCATTTATATTCAGTCCATTCGGTACTTGTGACAAGTACTGAAGTACTTTAAATACTTGCACTGAGTTGTTGTCTTGGTTCTAGATATAAATACAATTTGTACGGATCGATAAGAATTTTTCGTTCAGGCGAAAGCCTTGCCGTGGTATCCACGTGAATCAATCGATGAAATAGTCGGACTATTTTATAATGAATGAAACATACCCGACAACTTTAATCATCGTGAAAACCATCGCCAGCTGCTTCACAAATTCATCTCCCAGGAGAAGACCTTCCTCCACCCAGAATAATGGAAGGAGAGCCTCTGGGAAAGTTTTCATCAGTTTGAACTTCTCGATTGGATGAATAAACATATTAAATTGTAAACGCTTCCTTGCTTCTACAGGTGTGGCTGTCATCGGTTCGAAATTGATAAATATCTGATGTTCCTCCTGAAATCAATAAAGAACAAAAATAAAGATATTAAATTTCATGGACTCGCTCGTGATCTAAAATTTCAAACAATTTCATTCTGCTGGAAGAATCCAGGAAATAGTACTCCATTTTCATTTCCGATTTGAAAAGTTGTTTTTTTTTTGTAAGACATTGATTAACAATAAAATTTAAAAACAGTAAACGTTTTTTATCAAGCGTTTCTCCGAAATTTATTTTAAAAAACCCTGAAAAATGAGAAGATATCGGCAATAACTTATGATTAAATCCTAAAAATCATGTTTTCACGTTCAAAAAGCGATAACTCCATGAAAATTGGCGGTAATTGCGCAATTCACTATTTTCTTTGAAGCTTATTTAATGAGCTTTCAGATGATCACGTAATACAGATAAAAAAAGAGGAATTATTATACGAAAAACCGAAGAAAAGCGGAGCGTCACAAATCATTTACTTATGGATTTCTTCATGGGTTCTCTGACACGTACCTTATTGGGGTGAAGACCATCGACCTGGCTCAAGTAAAACTCATCAGCGAGGTAGAAATGTGGGAGACTTGCAACCATGGGGGCACCGAGGCAGGGGAAGAGATCAATATATCCCTTCTTCAGACATTGATCAGGGGCTGTACACAAACACTTCAGGTTCTCGTCGTTATTCATGTCACCGAAATCTGCGTTGTAGTGATTAGTTTTAAGACCTGGAATAACCGATAACAATTCATTACACTAACAATAATTATTATTACCAATTGATCATGATAGAGATATATTGTTTTTTTTTTCAATATTAGTAGTCAATATTTTATTCTATAGTCAGAAATTAATTGATTGGTTTAAATTATTAATATGAATAATTACGAATGCAGTCAGACCTTTAACTTTGGAAGGTTTCACATAGTACGCTGGCAGACTGAGGCACATATCTGGAGAAAATGAAACGATATCCTCATCTTTGTAGAGCAGGGGATGGAAAATAGTGGAATCTGTTCCAGGAAGTGCATTGCAAGGTCCATCATCCGACCAAACAGTTTGTCTTTCCAGTCCTTTGTATGACACCATTTCACCGGTTTGTCGATAATTCTTGATACCGCGTCTTACTTTCAATCTGTCAGGTACCACTGTACCATTTTTCTATTCATAATTAATTAAGTTAATCAATAAATAAAGAACATGATTGATTAAAACGACGAGTGTTTCGTGATAATTTTTAATTGCACAATTTTTCAAAAATTATTTTGTAAAAAAAAGTTGAGAGATTTTGATTATTTTATCAAACTCTTGATTCCGCGATGTTCAGTTATAATAGTAAAATTACGAAAATAATAATTCTATTTTCAATGGATTTAAAATAGTACGAAGTAAGAGGAAGAATAAAAAATGTCGACTTACTGCCCCCAGAAGAGCAAATCTGTATTTTCCAGGGCCTTCAACAATGAATGCCCCTTCATTCTCAGCAAGCAATGAGCAAACAGCTTTCCCCTGGAAGTCTTGAACCGTGCAATCCACTGGTAAACCTGTCCAGAGAATTTCCCGTACTGTTGCCCTGACAAATACTGAATCAGGCTTTTTGAAAATACTATCCACGGCTTTGGCTGTAATTAAATTGACGATTTTTCGTTGGGGTATTAATAATAAATAGTAATAAATAATAATAAATAAAGCTACCGGCAAGGCCCATCATTCCAGGTTTTTCTCTGACAACTGTCAGGATCAGGGTCAGGATCATCACGTGAGGAAATGTCAGGACAGTATCCTCAGAGAGTCCTACTCCACTCTTCTCCGGGGCAAACATCCATGTCGCTTTATTACTGTATTCACACGTGTCCTCCTCGTCATTGTCGACCAGGTCGACCTTCTCCTTGTACTCACTTTACGAGAGCAATCAATATTCATTACTTAATGCCTATTTTATATTGCAGTGCCATTAATTGCAAGCAATATGAGTTCATGCCTTTAGTATTAATCATCTGACTTTCCAGTAATGAATTATTTATTAGAATTAACAGAGGCCTCTGTTGATAGGCTAATAAATGGAGTACTAATTTAACTAGTTCTGATCGAGATTAGGGAGATATTAATTAATCTGTCAATATATCGCGTGTTCAAACGCCGACGGTGATATATCGTGGAGATACGCTCTTTTACTTATAAATATCTATCTAAGAATCCAGGAAGATTTTATTTCGACAGGAAGTGTCAAAATTATTTTTAACTTATTTTAACGGTCGAAAAAATCAGTTTGTTCGATTTTCAAAAAGAAAAAAATTCATAAAAAAAAGGAAAAATCAAGCTAAAAAATCGAAATTTTGGGGAGTAACGTGCATTAGATGGAAGAATATCAGAGCAAAATTTCAGATCAATCGATTAAATATTTTTCGAGATATACCAATTTCCCCAGAAATCGAAATCGAAATCGAAATCGAAATCGAAATCGCAATAATTTTTTTCTAAAGTCGCAAAAACTACTTGTTTTTTATAATAACGATAATCCAATGGATTTTTATTACAACTCACTCGTAGAAGAATGGGCCTACTTCATTGACGATGGGTTTGGCTCCCGTCTTGATCTCATCAGGATTTGTGATATTGAAGAGGAAAATTCTGAAATCCAAGCTGAAGGGCACAACCTCCCACATTTCTCGAATATCCCCTCCAGGTTTCAAGGTCACTTGCTAGCAACAATAAATCATAACAACGAAATATAATGTTAATGTTTTCCACCGAAAATAATAATAATCCCCACAAGTAAAAATTCCATTGTCATAAAATTATTGTAAAACTCAAACATGTCAACAACTCCTGTTAAATAAAATATGTTAACTACAAAATTTGGAATCCACACAAAGTCAATTAACATTGACGATCCTTATCTGGTATTCTGTTCCACAATTTAATCCGCAAATTTAACATAAACAAATCCAAGAGAAATTTTATATTAGGATGACTATTGTTATTTTATTTTCCATTTTTTCGTGTCTTAAAAAATTTTTATATCTCACAATTTTGAATGATAAACCTATCAAATCAAAAACCCCTCGTCATTTCCACCTAGCTCCTTCAAACAAGCCTTTGCACTCAATTAAATTCTATGAAATCACAAGAACTAATTAGAGTCATTGAGTGAAATAAAAACGGAAGATCAAAACCTGTACTTGTACCAATTCTTTTCCCATTTATTGTTGTAATGATTGCTGCATACAATTGGAGAACTTGATAATTAAATGAATAATTACTCTAATGATCTGACGATAACAATAAAAAAATCGTAATCCGCTTCTCCGGGATTGAAACAATGCAATCACTTATAGTTATTCCTTTAATTAATGAGCCTCACCTTCTTCAGTTGACTTCTCAAAAATGGCGGAAAAATAGCAAATCCAAAAAGTGTACCGAACATAAAAAGAGAACCCCCCGCTATCCCCAATTTCAACCAAAGCTGCATTTTTAATCCTTAATATTCGATTATTAAAAACTATTGAAAAAAATAAAATGAGGTAAAACTTAAAAAATTGAGTTAACTAATTAATCTTATTCCTTTTATTCATCTAAAAACGATATTGCAGCGATTCTTCTGTTTATCTGAAATTGGAGATTCTCGGATTAATAGGGAATTCTTGGGATTAGTAACAATTGAGTGAATAATAATTTACTATTGCTGGGCCGTGAAAACGAACTGACTCCATGAATTTTATTCCGCAGAACCGATATTGCATATTCCCCACCAAGTAGACACATGTAATTTGATTTTCGACCAACTCATTCGCAGTTGCGCAGTCCAACTTGCGAAAAAATTACGTTAAGTGCATTAAATTGCTAAATTACATATCCTCAAATAAAATATTAATTGTTTAACAAGTATTCCTAGATTCCTAGATCTCAGAAGAATCGAACAGCATTTATCCTCTTCAATACAATTCGATTATCACGTGATTAATTAACCCCAGACATTAAAAAAGAAATAATTCTATTTATGCTACACAATGATAATGAAATTTGAATTTTTTCATGGAATTCGGTGAATTCGATGGACCGAGCCACAAGTTTTTTTTATTTACTGGAATTTTTATCGGGACAAGAACACTCGATGTGTTCACAAAATCAAAAGTATATATCACCAGATTTTGTTTAATCCTTTGTTAATAGTTTATTGTGTATGCAGTAAAAAATTCAGATGTCAATATCAACTTTTATGGAAACTACCGGAAGTTTGAAGAACTGTTTTCTTTCACTGTCTCCTCCCATCTTAATCATTTAATGGCCCATTATCAAAATGATTCCGTACTTGACCCGCCAAGGACAAGATCCACATTATGCATCGACCCTTGTATTGGAGTGCAGTTTCTTAAAACTCAATAAAGAAATACTGTACTGCTTGACCTACGCCTTATGACTCGAGTTTGAAATTATTCTCCATATTAAATTTACCCAGAAGCATTAATTTTTAACATTAAATAACAATTGCCGATATCTACTCATCTTCTCGTTGTTCATAATTTATCGAAAATATACCGTTCTTCATTTTATCATTATTTAATTGTCAAACAAATTTCCTTAGTCGTACGTCTAGATTTATAATTTTTGGCGAAGCTTTATTGAATAATTCTTATCGTTTCGGTTGAAATTAAAAAGTTTGAATTAAAAAACCTGAAAAATTATAAGATATCACCAATTCATTAATTTATATTCATGGGGGTAAAGTACATTAATAACAATATAATAATTATGAAATAATGATAATAATAATCATGATAAGATAATCCTGGAATATTTAAAATTTCCATAACTTCAAATGAATGGGCATGAGAGAAATATTTAATTGAAATTATGTTATTCAGATTTTAGTGGTACTGCAATTTTTTATAGAAATAAATCTGATAACAATTGTTGATAAAATCTGTCTTGGTCGCTTTTTTGTTCTGGAATTACGAGAGATATGTTATTTTGAATTGAATATTTATGTTTATGAGTTCAAGTAGAACTTCTCGGTCTTCAACAAGTATGTGAATCTGATCAGATTCAGTCAATCGTTGCTCGCCATATTCAACAAGTTGGCAATTTCCGCGATAGTTGGAATCTCTATTTCCATCGACAGTGAATGTTACAAGAACCGGTGGTCAGTCCATAACATTTTATGATATTCATTTTACTTCATGCATAGTTAAATTCCCCGCGAGGAATTCCGTGAAATATTATACATTTTACTGAAGGTACTTTTCATAAACGAGGAATCGAATTCTAATTGAATTCTGATCGGGTTCGAGGAGTTATTTGCCGATATTTTCTCATTTTTAATGATTTCTTTATAATTTCTTGAAAATCGCGGATTAAATTGATGCAAAAAAATAAACCATTCACGCATTTTATAATTATTTAATGATCTCCAAAAATTCACAAAACTTGAGAACAAGCCACAGAAAAATTATTGCAATCTTAATCTAAAAGTTATTAATAAAACTAAATAAAAAATTCATCGTGGAATTGTTCGAACAGTTTAATGAAATTAATCATGTAATAAGTAATTGCTTTAAAATTGCACCCTTTAAAATTGCTCACCTACATGAATTGATCGAGTGCCATGAGTCAACGAGTCGTAAAAAATCGGTATTCCACATTTTACCACTTCACTATTAAATTAATAATGGATGTTGAACGGGGATTATGAGGATGAGGAAGACCGTGGATTCTGGGAATAGACATCCGCGGATGTGGAATAAATCAAAACACCGGGATGTTCCGCTAGGTGTTTAGCCGGAGTCCAATAAAGAAGTCAAATCGAAAGTTCATCCCCTCGTGAGCCTTTTTCCTTTTCAACTTTGCCAATAGGAAAGTTCAGCGAGAGGCTGTGGTAACCCAGAATTTCACTGTTCAATAGAAATTGGAAAAGTTTGGAATAAGAGATAAATTCAAAATGGATGAATGCCGCGAGGTCATTGACCGTCGAACAGATGTAAACATTCTTTTACCATATTTAAACAATCTTTTATCATATTAATTTATTTATTTCAGGCTTCTCTCCAGGATTTGCAGTTTTCACTTAGCAAATGAATAATTACTGAATTATAAACACCGAGGGAAAAATTTCTTCGAAAACAATCAGGAACACTTTGGAAATAAAAATTACCCTAATTCTCGTTCTGACAGCGAACATCAAACTTGCGAAATTGGAATATAAACTGTTATTTGTTCGAGGGTCTAACTTTTTTTTATTCAATACGATATTACCATGAATATACATATCAGGTGCATGAAACACAAACTAGACGGAATTAACAAAAATAATCTAATACGACAAACAATATACGAAAATAAAAATCGCAAACAAGGAAAACTAGAAAATAAAACAATACAACTTCACAGCTTTCACTCGGAATCAAGACATCTTTCAATTAAAATTTTTTTTAACATTTATTAACATTTTTTTCAATTCGTCGTCACCTTCGCGTTTTTCCCCCCGTGTGACGTAAGGAGCGGTAAAATAGTTTTTCATTTGACAGTGAAATTTCGATTAACAATTTTTCTCTCGACGAATAGTAAAATAGTTTTGCTTATTTTTTTTATCAAAACTTATCACCTTTAACGTTGTATAGCCGAGGTGTCGGTCTCGGTAGTGTCAAGTCCAACATCTGTTACCGAGGGCGTCCCTTAAATAATCCATGAACTTAAATGCCTGTGTAGAGTCCACGGTTTTGTTCTGGTGCCAATAGGATTATTTTTCCCCTCCCTGAAGCTGAATGAAATTTTATGGATTATTGACAACTCTACGCCGGTGTGCATCGAGATCTGAAATATTAGAGTTAATTGATAAAAATCTATTGGGAGGTTTGTGGGGGTTTTCAATCGGTCACAACTCAGTGGGAATTTTCTCACCCTCGACGTTTTGATTGACAAGGCTATGTCCAGGGGTTGAGGCCACGAAGCCGGTGTTTATTGGCTGTTTGAAGTTTACATCAAAACACAATGTCCTCCTCGCCTTTTCCTTTTAAACGACGCAATTCGTGTGAAATATCATGATTGATTATCGGTATTATTCATTCTCATGTAATTGACATTTTAACTGGGGAATATTACAATTGTTAGTATTCCTCTACATAATAAAATCCAGGAACCAGGGATTACTCTTACTTTTTTATTTCAAAGCTGTTACTAATTTTTTAATGGATAAGTGGAACTGCATGGAACACGAATTATTTCTGGAATAATAGATGATAAAGTGTTAAAGTTTGTCACTATATTGTTATTTATTTGTAATTATAAATAAACTCAGTAAAAAACTTGAAGTTAGAGAAGATAGATATCCCAAACTGCAATTACACCTCGAAGTTGATTTTGCCTTTATCCGGACTTAGACTAGTCCTTGTTGGAGGATTGGAGTTCTCTGTTAACTAATTCTTTTTATCGGAAATAACGAAAATGATATAATGAAATGCAATTCCCGTTTTATGAAGAATAAATAATTGACCTAACTGAAATAATTGGAAATATGCGAATATTTTTCAACCCTCGGATTTTTTAGAGCATTCATGGGACGAGTTAAACTCTTTACTTATACTTCGATTTTCATCTTTTAATTCAGGTTTACGGTTAAGTAGAAAGTACAGCCGAGATTTGTTGGTATGAAAATAAAAAATATTTATTTCACTATCAACTTAATTTATAACTCATCCGTGTAACATACAGTCTTATAATTACTACCGTAATATTAAGTCTTTGGAATTATCCAAATCGCCAAGAAACCAGAGGTCATGAATTTTTTTCAATCATTTTAAAAAACGAGAACACACGGAATGAGAGAAATTCATGACTTTTCCTGATTATTTTGCAAATGTACTCCTTGAGATATGTCCAACCAAGAAAAGAGAAAATTTAAACTGTTAGAAGAATTAAAAACATAAATTTCGAAAACCAAATCGTAATTTACGTTTTCTGTCGTAATTTCCCCATGGAAAATTTCAATTGATTCTTTTTGTTATTCAAATATGATTTCAACGTATTCGCAAAATAATGCCATTAATCCATTGGAACTGTCCTTACCACCCGCCATGATGATGATGGGACTTGTAATGGATAGCCACAGGAACAGGATAGGGTTTTGGAACATGAACAGGAACAGCGACATGTACGGGATAGGGTCTGTCGACTGGGACGAGTTTTTCGACATGAACGGGATAAGGTTTGAGGACATGAACAGGCACAGGTCGATCCACATGCACTGGAACATGGACATGCTTCTCCACAGGAACTGGATAAGGTCTGTCGACGTGCACGACCTTCTCCACATGCACTGGATAAGGTTTAGGGACTGGAACGGCCACTGGAACCGCCACCGGACGGTCAACGGGCACTGGATACGGTCTATCTACGGGATAAGGAACAGCTACGGGCTTTGTTACTGTCTGAACCACCGGAACAGCGACAGGAACCGGTTGGGGGACTCCCACTGGCACTGGTTGGGGGACTCCCACTGGCACTGGTTGGGGGACTCCCACTGGCACTGGTTGGGGGAATCCCACTGGGATTGGTTGAGGAACTCCTACTGGAACTGGTTGTGGAACTGGAACTGCAGCTGATTAAAACGAGAAATCAAATCATTCATCTGAGTGGAAATTCAACTGAAGTTCGGATCGAGTTCAATTTCATTCAAATTAAAGCTGTTAATAAAAATCACATACTTATTTATCAAATCAAAAACGACAGGAATTTCATGATTTCTAGATAAAAAAAAAATGAATAAAAAAAAATATATATATATATATTGCAAAAGGCTATCGTTCAAAGGCCTTCAGTCGCATTATTATTCACAATCGACGGACAAAATAAAACAGGCAACACAAATACTATAACGAGGGGAAGTATTACTTACGAATCGGATGACCGACGGGATGCAGATGAGGAAACAGTATGGCATCTTGATGATCCTGAGGTAACTGATGATGATGATGATGAAGGCTATCTTGAGGTACCAAATGATGATGCTGCTCTTGCGGTATCCATTGCTGACGATGATCCTGCGGCAGTAGATGTTGATTATCCGGTGCAGGATTCTCCTGAACGGGATGAGATTCCGGTGGAGGTCCATAAATTTGCGACTGCTCTTGCGGTAATCCATAGCTTAATCGAAGAAGTCCATTATCTTGTCTCCTTGTAGCTTTAATCCCTTTGATCTTTTTTACCTTGGAGTCTACCCTGATTGCTGATGCCAACACCAGTACTGACGTTACAACCTTCACATGAAATAATAAACACTAACTATATTAATTATTTGAATGATGATGAGTAATTTTGAAATAAGGTGAAATTGCAATTCAATGTACCACAAGTATCTTCATTGTTATCGATTTTTCCGAATGATCACCTTGACAGCTCAATACATACTGAATCCACTGCTGACCCCCATAAGTATTTATAGGACATCAGGTGGTCGCATCGAACAATCGCTGATTCCGATGGAATCGATATCTCTCTTCATTCACACTCGTTATATTTTCGTTCACCATCTAGGAACTTTCGTTCTTTCTAATCCTGGGTGTCGGCCAGCCTTCCTCAGCTGATGCGATAAGCCATCTTACATATTCATTACCAAACTAGTTATAAGAATGCGATCGTAATCAGAATTTTTGCAATTTAATTGAAGAGAGAGAAAGTTTTCGATAGGGGAGTCAGTTGATTGAATATTCAGATGGACTTCGGAGAGAAATTAATTGGGGGATGGCATTGATTGCTCGATATTGATAGGTCTATGCCGGGTGAAGAGAAATAAGTGGGATATCCTCTGGAATTGAATGAGCCGAGGGTTTGTTAAGTTGAAATGGACTATTGGAAAATTATCTTTGAAATTTTTACAACGACGAAATTTTTACAATGAAAAAATTGTGAGAGTCGAAAATGCAAGCGATAATTTCTCAGAATTTTCAGTCTATTCAAAATTCAAGTGTTTATTTAAAAAACAATTATCATTTAACATGAAAAACAAGTTCCTTGAGTTTTCGTGATCAATGACCGTTTTCAATTAAAATTGAATTAAAAATCGTAGAATTAAAATTAATAATCAAAATATAAACATAAATATAATGAAAATTATTCCAAGAAAATGGACAATTTTTTTTCCATTTTGAACAAATTGATTTCAAAAAATACTTAAAACTGCTGGAGATGAAAAGATTGTCATGGAAAATTTTTCGGCATTAAGGATAATTAATTAATTAGTTTATCCTTCGGCCTGATTTCCATACTTTCGGAGAAGAACCCTGAATTTCCTTTTTTTTCAACTACTTTAATTGAAAATCGATAAGAGCAATAACAAGTCTGTGGAGTAAATATACATTTAATAGATTTTCCTGGTCACATTTGTCTTGTTACTATACCTACATGTGCAAGTGTAAGTCCATATGAATGATTATGCAGACACGCTGGGCGTCACAGGACAATGAATAATTAATCTCACGTTGCTGCCATAGAATAGTTGCACTTGGTAGTAGGAGAAAGAGTGTTAGAAAATGAAAGTCAGGAAAGTCCAGGTTCTATAGACGACTTTACGCGGAAATAAATGGTATTGTGGCCCCGATTTTACGAGACGAAAGAAAAATCACACTAGAAAAAAAAATTATGATAATTATTATGCAAAGGTCATCATCCTTTTCAAAAATCATTATTACTCCATAACTCCCCGCGATTACATTTCATGCAATATGGAAATATACAATTGTAAAATAAAACTTTAAATTTGAAAATAGAAATCTTTTTTATTACTCTAAAATCACGGTTTATTCTATTTTTTTCAGGCATTTGAAGATAAATCATTGAGAAAGAAATGAAATGAATATTTCACACAGAATTATCAATGGATATAAAAATTTTTAAAATAAATTTTCTCAAAGCTAATTCGCTGAATTCGATGAAAAATCTTTCGGAGAAATTTGACTAGAAATTTTTCTCCGTGAGATTTTGAAATAGAAAAACAACTGAAATGAAAGAATTAATTATTAAATCATTGCATCCGTTTTCTATTAATTAATAATTAGGGATTATATCTAATATATAATTTTTTGTTAATGATATTGAATATGAAATGTTATCCGGCATGATATGAACAATAAATGGGCGAATGAAAGTTAATGAAAAAATACTGTACCTCAAGATGATGATTTTTTCTCTCTTTTCAAGTCATGAATCGCGATGACTACGCAAATAGAGAAATGATCAACTTTCTTGCGATTTGTACCCATTCATTTATTCTATCCTGGAAGTTCCATGGCAATTGTGACTTGAATTATAATCTCATTGATTCTCCATCTGCGGAACTTCATTTTATTTTTATTTTCTGGTATCAATCCTTTTTCTTACGACATTCAATAGCCATTTTACTTCAAACGTATGTCTTGAAGAAGTGACAAGGTTGCGGTAGGAGAAATAAATGCACACAGAAAAATCTGAACATAAATTCCGCATGAAGTCATATTTTACGATTTCAGGAAAATCCTTTATGACCGAAGTTGAGCCGGAAATAATATTAAAAATCCTCATGAAGGAGTGCATGAACGTAAAGTGCGATTAATTACGATTCCCGTACCCTAATCTATATTTATTTCTAATTGTGTGAAATGTTTTATTAAAAAATTCACTGAAAAATAGGAAAAATAGACGCACGATTATAAAAATTTGTGAATTATTCAATAATAATGAAAGTGATAACGCAAAATTTTTTCATGTCGATCTGATGCACGGTTTCTGGGAAATTTAATTTTAAAAACACAAAAAATGAGAAGATATCGGTAATAACTCCGTGAGGAGGACTGAGTCAGTTATTTTGATATGGTAATTATATTGTGACATACGCGAATTATTTTCACCGGAAATTCATCGACGATGGGATATGCATAATAAAAATGTGGGTAAGTAGATCGGGTGATTAGTGATTCACAGGTGGAGATGCTCGATATCCGTGAGTAATCAAGGACAATTTTTATTTCATTCAGTGAGAGTAAATAATTGAGTCTCAGAAGTAATGAGGAATTAGAGGGAATCGTGTGTTTGTTCTCTGAAAAGTCGGGAGATGTTTCAGGGAATTTCCGACGCAAATATCTGCCCATTAATATATTAATATATTAATATATAATGAGTGATAAATCTACTCGTTTCTCAAGTATCCACAGGATAATCTGCATGTCACGATATAATCATTAATTCTGGGTCGAGGATAATTAGTATTCTTCATTAATCAGACTAAATATTTCCATATAACTGTATTTGACGTATTTTTATAAATTAATTAATGGATTAATAAAATTGTTTGTTAATATTTGATGGAATTTCAAGTGAAACTCGATTATTACCCCAATTTTTTAAATTAAATCAATGCTATTTTATTTTTAACATCTTTATTTATGTATTCATCTTTCATTCATTGTTTATTATTGGAAAATTTGATGATTGATGATTTTTAATGCTCAGAATATTTCGAAATAAGTGCGAGAGGATTCAAATTCATTTTTTTACTCAGGAAAACGAATCAATTTTTAAAAATACCGCACCTCTCAATTAGAACCAGAATTGTTAATGAATTTTTTAGGCAGAAGGCAATCCAAATAATTGTTCTGTAGATTCATTAATTCATGGTGGAGTCATTGTCTGTGCTGGCACTGAATTCCTGTAATAATCTTAATTCAATTATCATTCGTTAACTTGTGAGTTGCAAACTCCTCAGAATGGTAGCGACAACTTCATGCGATTTTTTCTGCTCACAATTTACTCGTTTTACTGATCGAAGGTGAATGTCATCAATGATTTCGAGAGAGACGTTGAACTCGGGTCTAGAATTCAAAAGAATGTGGATTAATTTAATCGGAAGTGGGTCTGGTTTTAGAATTACTAGCTCCACAAGATCGACAAGTTTACTCAGGTGACAGAAAAAGTCATGTTTTTTCAGACTTTCATCGACCGGAAACTTATAGGGGCAAGTTTTTCCATCGGTATTGGGAGTGGAATCCGAGGGGTCCATATGCGGTGGAAAACTAGATGAATATAAGAGCGATTGATCAGCGATTAAACAGTAACAGTTCTGAAAAATCCCTCGACATGAAGGGGCTCCTAGTAAGAGCTCATTTATCATTTGTTCTGTGAATATAATTAATTTTCCAATTCGCAATTCGGTCACTCCACTATCGAAATATCGCTCTGAAAAAATCTCGTCATAATTGCAAATAATTAATTACAAAAAACACTTTCAATAGTCTATCTCTGCGTCATTCATTCCGTAAATTTTGACTCATTAAAAAATTCTGTCCGCAGTCATTTTCAATTTTAAACTATTCATCCTTTAATAATTCTATTTTTGAAATTATTTTGATATTCAGTGAAATCAGTGAATAAAAAACAACTAGTTATTAAATTCTCCTATTGTTATTCAATGCCGCCGATCATTATTAATTTTTTAACACTATTAAAAAAATGTTTGCAGTCCATAAGATACTAAACTACGAAATAATTAATGAATTATTAATTATTGCCCATCAGGTGTTATCTTTCATTTTCATGGGGTCGGCCCTGTCCTTAGATCCCAGGGACTTTAAATTCAAGAGAAGTGTCTTCTCACTAGCCCCTGGATGGAACAGTCTTCCGACTCCACCTGATTTTGACACCTTGACAGCGTGGCCCGCTGAAACCACTTGGAAAACCATCAGAAGTCCTCCAGAGACAGTCCAAACACTCCAGCCCGCCCCAGGGTAAATAAACCGATAGAATTGCACTGGAAATTTCTACCAAGACATGTCACAACTTCACATAGATCGTGGATAATTTATTGTAATTTCAATGACAGGTGGGCTAGCTTGGGAGGACCACAATCGTCTCCTCCACTTGTGATATCTAAACATACGGTAATTGAAAAACCTGTGGCAGTGCCAAGGGCTGTCATTGTGGAGAGGAGAATTCCTATTCAAGTGGAGAAATTAATTCCGTATCCTGTAGACCGAGTGGTTAATAAAGCTGTACCTATTGCTGTACCACATGTAAGTACACAGGAAAATGACAAATTGATTCATGAATTTGTTACTCCATTATTCCGGCAATCCGTCGGTTTAATCATGACTCCATTTTTTATTAATCAAATTCAGAGTCAAAAAGTAATTTTAGAAGCAATACATATAAACAAAAAATAGTAATAAATCCTTTAATAGTATTTTCGTAATAAATTTCACTCGATTCTGCTGTAGTCTTTAGACAATTTGTCTTGGATTTATTCGAATGCAAATTTATAAATAAAAGTGGATTCTCTGAAAAAACTTCCAAGAGAATTAATTGCACAGGAAATGATTATAATTACGGGTTATTAATTCCTCGATTCGTGGAAATTAATAACGCCGAGATGAAATGTCAAATTACTTTATATCAAGTCGGTAGGTTTCTCTCGGAAAACATCTCCATGAAAGTTTTTCTCGAGTAATTCGCCCCTCGGATAATTACCTGCAATTAATCACAGTAAACAGAGATGAAATTTGAGTTGAATAATCAATTCTATACAATTATTCTGATATGCAGTGGTGATGGATATGAGGAGCAAATGTCAAGGAAATTTTTTTGCGTTTAGGAAAATATCCTATAAGTCGGGTTTTAATTATTTTATTTAATCTTGAATAATTAGACTTCTTATGATCGATAGCTTATCTCGAATCGCATAAGGGGGAAGCTCGAAAAGAATTATTTAGAAAATTTATTTATATAATCCGAGATTCTATTATTTTCCAGAGAAAGCACTCATTACCGACAATTGAGAAGACAAATATTAAACCGCAATAAATTGTGGATAATTAACTACCGGTCAATTGAAATATGCAATTTTTAATTGCAATATTTTAGCAAGGCTACTGGAGCCACAGAAAAGCTGAGAAAAATTGACATCTCCATAACGATTCATTACGATTCACGGAATTATAGCCGTTATTTTCTCATTGTCAAGTTTCCTGTAGATTTCTCGGAAATTGATGAATCAGATTGTCGTGAAAAAATATTGTTTTGCATTTTATCATTACGTAATGACCCCCGACGTTTCTGCGCCGGCAATAATTCCCCTGTATTTTTTAATCAAAGTTTATAATTTTTCTAAATATGGGAAAAACAGGAAAATCCTTTGTTTATCATAACATTTTGAGAGTATTTAAATAATGACGGAGTTAAGATAAAATAATGATAAAAGATATTTTTTCGGGTCAGTCCAATCAACATTTTGTCTGAAAACTGAAAAAAAAAGAATTTTGACAAAAAAAAAATTTTCGACGGAACATCTTTCAGACTCACTTACTCATTTGAATAGACAGCAGAAAAAATAATAGTTTCCATTCGATTTCAGCCGGTTCCTTATCCAGTAGATCGTCCAGTTCAAGTCCCTGTACGTCAGACAGTGGCAGTTCCTGTCCAACAGCCCTATCCAGTTCCCGTAGCAGTTCGTCAAGGAGTCCTATATCCAGTTCCCGTACCAGTTATATTGACTCCGAATGGTCTGCTTCCCGCTTCAAGTATCAGTCTACCTGCACCACAGGCTCCACAGAATGGTCTATCCCTTCCTCTACAAGTCCTCTCACCACTGGCAATAAATGCCGCTCTCAGTCAAGGTGCACAAGTATCTCCACCTGAAGGTCTCTTGGAGATTCGTGACCCTGGCCTTGCCCCGATCATCGAGGACAATCTCCTACCTCGTGCTCAACCACAAGCTGATATTTTTGCCTGGAATGCACCTTCTCCGGCGCTTCTGAGTGATCCCTTGGCGCAATCACCTCTCCTCAAGTGGAAGAGAAGTCATGAAGAGAACAAAGAGGAAAAAAAATCACCAAAATAGTCATAAACAATAGTTAACATTGTAATTATTCATGGGAATATGAATATTCAATTTGACTGAACGATTTATAAAATTCTATACTGTTTTTTATATTTTCGTTTTATTAATAAATGTGAGATGCTTTTTTATTCGAGGAAGTTTATTTATTTTCCTTATTTTTTATGTTTAAATGAACATGAATAAATGAAAATCGCTAAGAATAATGGACATCTTTGAATGGATTTAAAATTCTAATTGACTGAGCTGTAATGATGTTTTTTATACTAAATTTGTGGACTCGTTAAACAATAGAGCAATTTATATTTTCTTGGGAACCATGAAATTCAATCTGGTAACAATTAGAAAATATATCTATATTACTCATCTGTAGACTTTATCAGGAATATAAAAAAATTCGATTTTCTGAAAATTGTTAATCAATTTTAATTTTGAAAGGATTTCCAACAACTCATCGCCATCTACCATTACTTCCTGGAATTTATTTTTACTGTAACGATTACTCTGGCGCCGCCATTGTACCAACCAAAGAGGATTGATTAAAGTAGAGGCTCAGTTCTGGAGGTTGGAGTGACCCCAGCGGCATCGAAGTACTGCACCCCAAGAGAGGGAGGGCGCCACACGCAATGGAGGTGTTAAGGTATGATACAGGTAGGTATTGCCAAGCTTTGATGTCGCCGACACCAAAACAGGGGACAAGTACCTTCAGACATTTACAGTTTACAGTTTACATTTGAATCCCAGTAGAGTCGTTTGATTTTTTTTCTTTCAAATTGACATGAAAAAAAAAGGTATGGCATAAAAATTGTCTACAAAAGCATAAATGAACAATGGGTATATGATTATTTTAATAAGGGAGACTCTTACCCAGTATTGCCTATTTTTTCATAAATCAAGTAATTAAAGTGAAACTCTTTCCACGTCACCCAAGAGGTAGAGTCCTTGACGCGTTTTTTTATAAGTGGTATCCCCTGTAGGCCTAATCCACTAAGTTAATAGATGGGTTTGTTTTAATTGTTATGATTTGAAAACCTGGAATAAAAAAAGAACCATGACATTTATTAATAATAAATAATAATGAATTAATAATAAATTCATCAATTTCGATGGATATTCTAGCTGCATTGCCGATGTTGAATCACCTCAGCAACACTGATTTGGGGGAAATATTTAACGATGATGGAAGATTCGAGGAAGCTGTCAATGACATAAAACAGGTGAATTATTTAATCGATGATAATAAATGGATAATAAGGCGGTTGTCTCATTATTTTCTTATCTTATTATTAGATATGCGACTTACTTACTTTGTCGTGAGGTTTCCTAGTTTAAAGAATTGGAATCTGAAAAGGAAGTTCTGATCATTCAAAGCAACCCCAACTCGAGGAGAATAAAAAAGCATTACATGAACTGTCTGAAAGAAATGCTGTGAGCTGCTGCGGAAATTGAAGAAGAATCGGAAGTAATTATTTAAGCAATTATATAAACAATTATCAAATGATAATTGTGATTTTTATTTGGATTCTCCTTCGTGTCCAGAAAATAGCTGAGAAATTCTTATCGGGAGATACAGAAGTCGATGAATTCCTGGAACAATTCTTGACC